CATGTGACAGTGAAGTTATCAAAGCAAACGCGGCAGTTTGTTTTATTTAATATAACCTCATGCTCTCGAAATTAAACTCAGCTTTACCATTATCCTTGATATAGGAAACACTCCTCTACTTGTGAAATCCTTTTATGTCAGATATGGTTTAATCAGAATTCAAATTAGAAAACTATTTAAGGAAAAGCACTTTCTTCCATTGCAGTGAGTTTGCAGTATAATTGAAAGTTCACTTAAACATAGGCAATTCGAAATTTTCCAACAAATATTTTATTCTGGCAGCACCTCCTTAATAATTATAATCGAATAGAAAGCTGAACAATTAATTATCTATATTAATTAATCTGCTTTCGAAACATTGTCTTTTGTCTAAAAGTTAGGAAATGCATTTGAGTTAAATCACCCTATATTCTCTTTAAAGAGATTACAGTAAGTAGAAATGAAGAATTAAAACAGATGTCAAAATTATACTTACTCGCTAAACTTAAAGTAGGCATATGTAGGAGAACGTCTATTATATTCTAGACTTAACTATTATATTCCAAATCCTGCCATACACAATAATGTAATGCATAAAATACAGCGCAATATGATTTCAAATTTGATTATAACAACCTATCTGGTCATAGACCTACCTAAAACCTATCTGGTCATAGAAATATCCGTTTATTGTCGTGAATCAGTCGCTCAAGTACGAAGAATTTATTGTATATAAGAAAAAATTGTGTAGAAGTAGTGTATCTAAGAATATAAAAAGAAAGAAAGCATTCTTATTCTTCGTCTTCAACTAAATGTTTTATTTCACTCTGGTCTATGTTTTAAGAATTAAAGGAAGAAAGCATGGCATGCACCGAGAAGGATAATAGAAAGTAAAATAATGCAATTACCAACATACAGTGAGACAAAACAGTCTTACATGCAAAGCAAATTACTGGGTTTATTAGTCTAATTTGTATCTAAGAAACATTTCCTATCCCTATGCAACTTAAATGCTTTTTACGTAAATGATCTTTACTTAACAATACTTAAATAACTTTTAATTTATAATTTCTGGCTTCATATCTCATAAAAATTAAGTCATATATATGTATGTATATATATATATATATGTGTGTGATGATAAAATTTAGTTTGGTAGTCCGGAAGTTTTGAAGAATCACAAAAATCACTTGATATTCCAAATATACCTTTATTACTTGTGGCACTTCACAATGGAGGCCAATTTGCACCCCACAATTTTGATGATGGCGCATTACATTTTTAACCAAAGCAAAAAAGCAGAAGACGTCCTTCGGCCAGCAAGCATAGGCAGAGAAAGAGGGTGGGGTAGGATTGCAACAATATTTATAGTCAAATTTTTCGTTGATCTGATTGGCTAAAACTCATACGCAATGCAAAAGTTTCAAGATGACATAATGCGGAATACGTTTTCAGATATGACGCAGTTTAGGGAAAGTTATTATTAGAGACAAAGTACCCAAATTAAAAATGAGCAATTAAGATACATTTTAAATTATAATTTTGATTTGCATTTTTTTTATCTTACATATCCCCCCTTTAAAGAAAAAAAGGCTTGGCGACAGAAAAGCCTTTTTAGAAGAAAGCATTAAAATAGTAGCGAAGCAAAGGAAATACCATTTTTTAAAAAATAATCATAAAATTTTGATCTAAACGTTTTAAAACAACAAAATCTTTTAGACATAATTTTTTACAAGAAATGTAAATTTAAAATGCTACTGAAATTTTGCAAATTCGTTTTTCTGTAAACATACTGTAAAAAAAGTTCTACTTTTTTCAATAACTAACAGTAAAAGTTCACAGTTCTTGGAATATTTACTTGAGTATCATAATCATATTTTGCAATTCTTGGCTTGAAAATCTTCGGTAAAAGTTTTTGTCAAAATAAAACCAAAATTTTAATGTAAAATAAGAGTAAACAAACTTCATAATTTTACCTGCTTAGGGAACTTTTTTTTAAACAATTCAAATATAAAAATTTAAAATACATCTATAAATTACGTTACAAAATTACAAGAAATTTCAAAATACTATAATGTAATTAATTCATCATTTGAAATATTTTGTTGAAATTATGCTTTTTACTATTATTAGACATTTATAGTTCACTTATTCTTTACTAAAACTGAAGATCCGACAGCTTTCTATAAATACTAACATATCCATCACATTGGTTTATCAGTTGAGCAAACTGGTGTTTATTCTTCACCAGTGGCCAAAAGATTTGCCAAATTGGCAGTTACATTAAAAAAGGCCTCCGTTCCTTGGACAGAGGCATTTGGCCTTTTTAAACTGCCCCATCATTCCATTACTTAAAAAAATTAACTGCACTCCATTATGTTAAAAATCTAGATATGCTGTTTTTTGTATTGCGCAGAATTTTTATTCATGTTGCATCCTTTTATGAAGAGTTGAATTTTATGGTATTAAAAATTTGATTTTCATAATTATGTTTAATAACGAATTTAAAAGATTAGTTAAGATTTTATTTATGGAAGGTTATTAACCTGATTAATATATTTTTACATTATTGTTTAACTACTTTTGAAAAACTATTCTGATTTTTTTATTATTTTAACAAACAAATTTTTGTTTAAAAATTTGAATTCTAAGAATTTTCTAATTTTAAGAATAAAGTGACTCAACTTTGAAGGCTCCCACTTTTTTTTCGTATATAATAATAATTACTTTTTTACGATGACAAGAATGAATGCATGTAATACATTAAACATAAATTGTATACCTTCTAAGTTTTATATAAAAAAATGTTCCCCGCAAAAATTTTAAATATCTTCTATTCAAAAATTATTGGCCACCAGCGTCCGAGCGATAAAGTCGCTGAACACTGGTAGTTCGGTCCGAGGTTCGAATCCCACGAACGGGCTGGCTGCATGGGCGTTTTCGTGGTTTTCCCTATGTGTAACGTGTATACGAGCCAGTTTCCCTTAGAAAGTCCTCCACGAAGGCATCCGTCCTCCCTTAGGCATCTAGCCCTAGTCTGCTTTGCCATAATTAAATACGCCAACAACAAAAATTATTATGGAACCATAAAACAATGAATTCATTGAAAAAAGTGCATAATATCTGTGAGCTTACTTTTATCTTGTGAAATTATTGGCATCAACAGTATCTTCATTCGATGAAAAGAACTTTGCAACAAAAATTTACTTTCAATGGATATTTTGAGAAAAATTGAAGACTTTTATGCTTGTAATTTATTTTGTATTATTCTTCCATATATTATTGTCCTATACTTCTAAATTTAGTTATAGGTTATATGTTTATTTATAAATCATAAGTTCCATTACAAAATTGCATAATTGAAAAATTTTATAATTATATGAGAAAGGTCATGGCTTTCTCATATAATTATAAACTTTATGTAAAGCATCATTTTGTAAGCATCAAATAGGGCATAGTTAAAGTCTGTAAGCTATGTCCTGGATGTCTTTCTTCATGCCTTTTCTCATACGTCTTGCTTCACTAATGTACTAATGCTTTGCTCACCCGGCCTTTTGTTTCGAGGGGGGGAGATGTAAAATATAAAAAAATAGGACGGCTTTGCTCTATGCGAACAAGCAACCTTTAATTAACTTTCTGTAGTTTCAGGATCTTCCCCCTAGACCAGTACTTTCGAGAATATTCCAGACTTTTACGAAACCGCTTCTATAAATAGAAAACTCCTGCCATTTTTGCGTCAGAGAGACCGCTTTCTCCCTTTGCTGCTGCTCTGCCTCTCTTTTGTTAGAATACAATTACGCATTTAGTTTAATCTTATTTCGTAAAGAGTGATGATATGCCTTTCAATTGAATAAAAATGTGGAATCAAAACAATAAACTTCTGCGTCATCATTTCTGCCAAGCTTCATTCATGTGCTCAACTTTCAAAATATTACGTATATATATATGTGTGTGTGTTCGTGTGATTTGTGGAGCCAGTTGCAACAAAAAAAGGAAATCCACAACTACAGGTTATAGCAGTCCCTATGTACAAAATTTCAACGTTCTATGGCTACTCGTTGTTGGGTTATGCGAGATGCATACATACGTATGTAGGTTACGCACAGACCTCAAGAAGAAAAATCTCTTCTGAATCCATTTTAAATCCAATTCACATTTCTTTTTGGCAAAAACAGTTTTTTTTAATTCTGTTCGTACATACAGATTTTACTTAAAAACATCGTTCAAATGGTTTCGAGAGGGGTTGAAATGGATATTTTCGTTGAAACATGATGCCTGAAATTTTTCGCGATTACAGTACTTCTTTGCAAAAAGGTTTGGATATACATTCTGTATACAAAAAGGTCCCATAATTACCATATTTCGATTCTGATGACCTAAGCTATAAGAATAAAAAACAGCTATCTGTATGGTAAAGTTAAATGTATAATTTACGTTTTAAACGCTGTGGTTAGACTACTTGTTCGGAATAAAGTAATTATACTTCGATTCATATTACACATTGTCTCAAAGCCTGATACCTCATTAATTCATGAAGTATATCAAAGAGCAAGCAAAATCTCATGTGTTAGTGGAAATACAAACACGAATTTAAACAGTACTTTTTATTACTTACTAAAATTATATTTTGCCTTCCAGGTGTCTTCTAAGTGTATTTAATTATGGCAAAGCACACTAGGGCTATCTGCCTAAGAGGAGGGATGCCTTCGTGGAAGACTTTCTAAGGGACACTGACTCGTATACATATGGGGAAAACCACGAAAACGCCCATGCAGCCAGCCCGTTCGCGGGATTCGAAGCTCGGACCGAACTAAAAGTGTTCAGCAATTGCTCGGCCGCTTGTGGGCCGTTTTGCATTCCAGAGGTTTGAAATCCTATTCTTTTGATCCACAGACATGCGTTATATAATGACATAAACTGAATTGAACTCATGTTATGATTTTTTATTGAATTTATTCACAGAGATACAATTAAATTTTTAATTTCGATTGCTTTAAGAGAAGAGTTAACCAATCTTTGCTTTTAGTGTTGATCTCTGGTAGCGGCAACAATGAAACCAGATGCCTCTTCTGGTAAATTTTGTAGAATATTCCATTTGTTTTCTTTGGCATCGTAGGAAAAAGGATGTCTAATTTGAGACATCGTGTGAGTATTGAATCCTCCAAACACGTAAATATTTTGAGCTGTAAATTAAGAATGATCTCAGTAAGTCTTATAACGCATCAACTTAACAAAGCTAACAGCAGAAACAAATTAATAAAGCCAGTTTGCTTTCTTTAAAACTTTAATAATAATATTTGTCATTGATATAAATTTCCAATGCTTCTCTTGTGCAAAAATTTCTTTTCTACAAGAAGTATTTGAATTAATTTTTTGTTAAAATGATTGCGATAACTATAATGCCAAACACATTATTATGGTAGAGGATATTTACATTCATCACCGAAGTTTTGGAAATATCTTTTTAGTTTAATTCATCATGAAAGACATATTTTAAGGGACGAAATTTATCATTTCATTTTACGACGCAAAATAATTTATTGCAGGTTCTACTTATCTGCTGGCAGCACACAGAATTTAAATATTTCTTACTTTATGTATTATCGATTAACACTTTGGAAATGCATTCAAAATCTCATGCAAAAATTCTGATGCCAGGTATTTTACACGCAATCGAATGACAGATGATTATCACCTCGTTTTGCTTTAACATTTTTATACATACTTTATTTGTTCACATTTATCTCCTTATATGTATCAAGTAGCCGATGTTTTCTTAGACACCATATCCCCATTTTCCTAAAATATGGATTCAATTCTATATTACAACATTTCCGTATATCTAAAGTGAAGACAAATGGAAAAGGCATTTGTTTTACAAAGAAATATTATGGGATTCAAAAATTCTGGCATGACTTTGTTTTCGTTATTTTTGACTTTATTTTGCATCTTAATGCCGGAAATACATAATTTGAAAATACTATATAAAACAAAATGTAAAAAATACATTTTAATTACCCTTCTTTCTTTAAATGCTCTAAAAATAAAAAATAATTATAATAATTTTTTCTAATAGTATACATTATTGATAAATTATGTAAAATAAAAATCGTGGAATTGTTAACAATGGTTGAGGTTAAATCAAAGGTATCTTGGATAATTACATTCAGTTCATTTAGGTTTCTTTTGGATACTTGGATATATATATATATAAGCAAGATATAACAATTAAATAACTGAATCGAAATTCGTGGTTAGCACTTTAACAGGAAGAACTTACGTCAAAAATGAAAAAGAAAAAAAATCTGATGTGTACACCACATGACTTCCTTGTATGGAATATTAAATTATATGCATTTTTTCTTGCATTTCATTTAAACTTATTGGATTGAATTAAATCTACTTCGTCGATAGAGCATAAACCACAATAGTTGTTTACCATAGCGACACACTGGCGCTAGATTCATTGAACAGCGTTATATTTCGTTCATATTACAACTCAGAATGCACAAAATTTATATCAGTTGAAGAATTATCTAATCGTTCCCACAGGTCCTATACAAATACCAATTTGAATATTCAAAATATTCAAATACCAATAAATCTAGAACGATGTATAAAAGAAATTGAGCCAACAAAACAAAACAAAACAAAACAAAAAAAAAAAAAAAAAAAAAAAAAAGAAAAAAGAAAAAGAAAACCATTTTTCACAGACGATTCAGTATTTCTCGTTCAATTAACTCAGTTCTCACTTCGCGACAAGGCAAAAACATATAAAAACTCAATATCTATATTAAAAATTACGAAGTAAATCTTAAACACTTATTTCCTCGAAAACATTCCGGAATTAATTAAGCATGATTTAATTCGCAATAATAAATGAAGGCGTTATCTTTGTTGTTGAAAAGCATAGTCTCTCTAGATTGGCAACAAATCTACTATTCTGCTGTTTCAAATATAAACAAACATGTCCTCCATGTTATTTAAAAATTAGGCTTAATCAAACTTAAACAGCTTTTTAATTATTGATAATTCTAAAAATATTGCTTGCTGATTTCCTAAAAGCATAAAATCCTTAACTGGAAGATAAGAACAACATAATTCAATCATTTTTAAAGCAAAAACTGCACAACTTAACATATAAGAGTAAACCTAACTGAGAATCACTGAGACGAGGTGCACATCTAAACATGCTATAGCAGTCCTATGTACAAAATTTCAACGTTCTGAGGCTACTCGTTTTTGAGTTATGGGAGATACGTACGTACAGACGCCACGAAAAATTCTCTTCAGAATTCATTTCAAGTCAGTTTTATACTTTTTTTGGGGAAAAAAGAGTCTTTTATTTTGTCCTTACATACGGATGACACGCTATCGAATGCAAAAAAAGCGTTAAATTGCATTCGATAGCGGTCAAAATGGATATTTTCGTTGTAATATGCTGCCTAAAACTTTTTGCGATTACAATACTTCCATTTTACTTCGTACAAGGAAGTAAAAAGAATAAAGCAGTATAAAACCAATAGATGTAAATAATATACTTATTAATAAATACTGACGATAAAATCTGCTCCAAAGGGACTCAAAACAAAAAAAAAAAAAAAAAAAAAAAAAAAAAAATGTTGTACACAATTTAAACAGTACAAAATAAGAATTACATACATACATAGTACATATTTCGAATTTAGAAATTAGATCAGCAGTTTCTCCAATTAGAGGCAGTAAGCTATATTACCATATTTCAAAATATAAAGAACTAATAAACAGCAAGACTATTATGAAACAAAAACCTTAAAATTATTATGCCAATATCTAACGAAACGAAACTAAGTCACATTTAGCTGTAACCTAAAACAGAAAAGATTTATAAAGTTAAAAGACCTAAAATTAGGAAAAATAATTAATAATAAAAAATGAATGCAAAAGTAAATTAAAAACCATTGATAAAGATGTTCCTTAGCTTTATTCTCTGTGGTCTATATGACTGGAAACACAGAAAAGTGACGTAAGGTGTTAAATCGAGTAGAGTAATAGAATGGTAATTTGATACATTGAAAAATTATGTTTTTCAAATAAATTAACATATTTTATTTAATTGCATTCTTTGTTTGATCACGCTGTTCCTGAAATGAAGTTCTTTTTGCGCATTTTATTTTTGAGGTTTTGAATCAGTTTTTGCTTTTTATTCTCCTTCAGTGACTTTCCCCATTTCTTCGCAAGCATTTCAAGTTCAGTATGGGAAAGCGATTTCTTGGCAGGTTTATAATGTTAAGATTGATATTAATTTCTTGGGTAGTCAATCCGTTTTAAATTTAGAAACAAAAACATCTTTGAAGAAATACAAATAGCTTTGGATATATCATACAAGCTTGGATTGTTCGTTTTGTCGTAGAATTTTGTGTTTCCTAACTCTTTTAGCAGATACATTTTATTACGCTATTTAAGCAATGATGGGAAACTAATAACCCCTATTATATTAAAAATTTTTTCCTCAGGAATAGCATATTTACGGTTCGTGTGTTTTCATCTGCGGTTTATTGGTACTTATTCGTTAACAGCCAAAGTTTCGCTTAGCTTTGAACCCGATATTTTTAATGACGTGGATTGAAGTAAAGGCATTTATACCAGTTTGCACATAATTACATTGACCGTCTTGGAAACAGCATACTCGATAACAGTAAGAGGCATTCTGCGAAGATCCTTCATTCTCAAGCGAGAACGTCAGATCACCACCCGCAAAAGCTTTATAAAACCGGCAAAAACTTTATAAGCGCATAAGTAAAAGCCTTATAAGATAACGATTATAATTCCTAAATTCAATGGAAAAGGTTTGAGATTTCATTGTTTTTCACCATCAAAAATGAAAGAAAAACATGTTTGAAATTACATTAAGATTCTAATTCACATGCAGTTGGCTTCTCCCAAAATCGTTTTAACATCGCGAAATTTTAATCTTTTCTTCGTTTTCTAGGAAGAAACCTCGGCCATTAAAATGGAGTCTTTACTTTCTATTTTCCATTTATTTCCAGAAGCAGTACTGAAGAACTGATGGAACCAACAGATCATTGTTATAAAAGTTGAGAAGAAATATGAATAAGACTGATAGAGAACGCTAGACATTAATACTTCTTCCCTCTTGACGTGTGAACAAAAATTGTTTTTCGCCAGTACACAAAATCTTTTCTCGGTTGCAGTTATAGACATGAGTACATAGTCTTCTGAAGAGATTTATAATGTGGAACTTTATTTGTCTGTGACACCCATTAATTTCATTATTTATTGAAATATTTATGTATAGATTAGAAAACGAACTCGAAATGCAATATGAGTAGTATTGAATTAACCGCTATCTTAACTCTTCCAATGTAGGTTGCAGAATGTCATTTGTTACGTACACAGCGGAAAGATGGAATAAAGTTGTATTGAGTTCAATAGAATGTTTTACATTCTTTCTATGCACGCCTTAAAAGAAAAAGAAAATTAATTCAAATTTTGGACTCTACTAAGTCTGCAAAACAAGTTATTTTCTCCTATTAGGAATGTACTGTTGTTTTCAGGTTTCATATAATTCGTGAGTTGCATAACGCCCTTTAATATTACTTTAACTCACAAAATTTCATAACTAACATTCATTTTTGAGGAAAAATACCTTAATTTAGAAGTTAAATAACAAAAATAATCGTTATATTTGCAAACATTTTCTCTTTGCTCTTTGACAGCTTAGGATGATGATTCGGTAAAACCATCGAAACTAGTCCTGTGAATATAAAGGCTGATTTTTTGTTGTTTGACTACTAAATTAATATTTGCTCGGCGTGTTATTTTTACCTCAGCAATACGTTATTAACTATTCATTAGGGATACGTAATTTACGTATTTACGAAGCAGATGTAAATGCGTGAGAAGATTAATAATATTAATTATTAAATGCACTTTTTAAAACTTCTTTTGATCAAAAATAAGTAAAAGACAGGCATTTAAGACAATTTATTTAAATCACTTTAAGAGAAATTTATTATTGGATAATCTTATTAAAATATTATTTTTATTTAATTCGTCTAGTGATAGATTCAATCATTTTGAGGAATAAATATTTAGACAGCTTAATTACAGCATTTATATTGATGTTATACGGGTTTTTTAGGTATTTATATACCTACCCAGTTTTAAATAGTAAGTACATAATCGCATTTAAGTTCTTTTAAAGAAATGCAATTATGTAGTATGTAAAATTAGCCTTGAAAATGATCACAATGCGTATATACGTAATATATTATCGTAGGAAAAAAATGCAGATAACTGGCTTAGAATCTCTTTTTAAAAACTACAAATAAATAAATACGCAAAATTAACTCCTCTAAATATGAGAACATGTATTTGAAGTTTTTTTTAGAATTCTTTGTACTTAGTTATTCGAAATTTTAACTAATATCTCAAGTAAAACTTTATGCTTGATTTATTTTTCTTTAATTCGCCTGAGATAAATACTTTTCTCATCATACAAATTTTCTTCGAATCCCATAAAAAAATTGAATTTCTAGGTAATTGTACTAAACGTAGCACATAATTAAAATGTCACGGATTGGATACCTACCTTTTTTATTCCTTTTAAAATTAGGTAAATTAAACACCATTCATTTAAAAGAACTTTCGGTCTTATAATAAATGTTTTTTTCACTTCCTTTCACGAACGTCTATATCACTCATTTTGGAAAGAAACATTTCACACATAAATAAAACTTCTGGAAGCAAATGTTCACTTTAAAAATGAGTAAATAGCGTTATGCACTGACAATTTCAACTAAATAATAAAGTACATAACTAATGAAATCAAGTCGCTTACCCACAATTGTGGCTACAAGATTGTGACATTTTTCTGGCAAGGGATTTCCTCTAATCCACTGACCATGTTCTAATCGATACATGTCCTGAATACTCTCTAGATTTCCATTGTTTGGGGTTGATGATCTCACTGCGCCGCCCAAACATATCAACTTGCCTCTGTCTACGAAAAGCTTGGGAAATGCCAATGCCAGAGGCAAGTCTGTTAATCGAGTCCATCTGAAACGTAATCATCATCAGTAGTCATTTAAATCAACCATAAATCTCACACATTTAGTTATAGCAAATATTAAAATCTGGCAACGATTTCAAATGAATAGACAAGAAGAATTTTCAAGTTTAATTAATTAATTAAAGATTCAATGCAACGAGAATCATTTTTAATAGGAAGCAAATACTTTGCATATAGGAGTTAGTTACATTGTGTAAATTGCAACCTAATAATTAAAGTCTAAAAGAAAACTAGACAAGGAAATAAAGTAAGTGTATCTCGATAAATAAGGTTTTATAATTTTGAAAACTAAAGCTTAGAGCTGAAGCAAATTCCTAAAATTGACAAATTATCTATAAATTTGTAATCCTTAGTGTAGTCTTTCACTTCCTGATCTACTGTCAAACGTTAAGTCTCCGTGTTACGTAGCAGATGCCATGATTACTTCCGTCATTATCTAGTACAAGGGTTCTCAACCAGGGGATTATTTCCTCCCTGGAGGGGGATTTCATAGTTTTAAGCGCGGTTGTAGTAGCCTTTTCGTTTGACTTATTAGGTTGTAACATACGCAATGCACGTTAGCTAAATAATTAGTTTATGAATATAAAATACTACTTATGTGAAAGTTTTGGTATTTATCAACATTTTTAATACTTTTTGTTGTTTGATTCATGAAACATGTCAGAAAATAATCAAAATCTAAACAAATATAAGCATGTGCTTTTTCAAGTTTTGGAAAGGAGGCGAAGAATGATCTAGCAATGCTGAAATAGGTGCATGGGACAAAACAGGTTGAGAACGACTGAATTAGCACATTATAAATTTTACATACTCTATCCACTCCATAGTGTCATTAAAATTAGAGAATGTATTTCCAACTTATTCACGACTAACTCCTCATTTTTATACCAAAGGATATTTTATCAGTTACTATTTTCATGTAACTGTAGAAAATGGGGTGCTTTTCTGTTAAGCTGGTGCCATTCGTTAATATGAGACAAAGTTCTAAATGTGATACCCTGTTTAAATTGCATTAGCAAAATCTGTCATTGACGCGAAAAAAACGAGAAGAATGAACATTCAGTCTAATATTTTTCCATCCTAGATTTTCAGTTATTTTTGTGTTGAAGTGCTAATAGTTTTTCATCGCAAACTTTGTGCAGTTCTTGGAATTCTCTGATGATTTCGCATTTTTGAAGAGCAAAAAATCAGAACTGCACAAAGTCGATGGTACAAAAGCTCAACTTCGCATTTTAAAGGTTAAAGGTTATAGGACTTTATATTTATTTTAAATAACCAGTTTAATTTAATTTTACGCTCTTTTCTATAAGCCTTCATTGCCTTATATATCAATGCCAGAATATTTAAATTGCGCCAGAATATTTGGTAGCCAGAATGCCACTCAATGCCAGAATATTTGGTAGCGCGCGTGAAATAATGTAAATTCTACGTTGAGGAGGAAAACTTTAAATACTGGATTCTAGAAAGGAAGGGAGTTTGGGCAATCGCTGTCACCTCTGTAGCGTGAACTTCTATTTCTACAGTTATTGTTACTTTACCTGTCATTACAGCTATTACTTTGCTGCCACTAAATTTCGATGCGGTTTTAAGTAACAGTAGTTTTTTTTAACCCTGTAAAGAATTTCTACTACATACTAATATCTTCGAATTTTTAGTTTAGTTCTTGTTATTTGAGTTCCCGCCCAGGTGAGGCGAGTGTATAGCATCAGGTCTACGCATTGTGAATTTTAAAGAGTTCAATAATAGGTTCTTTTAACTAAACTAAACATTTGTACTTTTAACTGAACTAAAACTCCTGTGTAGTACCTACACGTACAGTTGTCACTTAGAAGATAGACAAGTGGTTCTTACAAAATTATATTATATTCATTATGAATAAAATATTTATTCTTCTTACAAACTTTAAATAGCGTCAGGGTTGCTGATATCTAATTAGAATTCGCAGCAACATTTATGTTTGGCGTTAAGTGGCGTCTCATTAACCAAAGAAAACTGAAAATATTCATTGTTCCATAAGTACAGAGCTCACTAATGATCGACAGAATAAACCAATGATTACTGTTAATTCGATCGAATCTGGTAAATAGGCTGCTGCAATGGAGATTTCGTAGTTTCTACATGTGTAAAATGAATTCAGGTCAGTTTCTCTTACAACGTTCCTTCTGTTCGGCAAAGCTCACACATGTTGATGAGCGGTAAATTTGCTGAGTATTGGTAGTTATAGACGAGTTCAAATTAGGACAAACGACCTGCTGCATTGTAAGTTTTGTGATTTTCCTTGTTTGTAACGTGTCTAGTTTCTCTTAAAACGTTCTCCAAATGACATGTCTCCTTATAGGCAGGTAGCCTTCAAGAGCTTTTCCATAATCCAAATAACCCTCTCGTTGCATAGACTGGTCTCTGTTCTTTGCTGTATTCTGTTAAACGTCCCCAAAATGTCTTAAATATGTAACTACAATAGCGTCAATTTTTGTATATATCATCGATGCACATATTGCTCCATGAACTTAGCCCCACATTCAGTATGACAGAGAGGTTTACCACATGTAGCACGCTATATAATAATATATAATGTAACGCATTAGCAGCAGCATTTTTAATACTTATCTTTGCTATTCAATCAATATAACTGGCCATGTACTTGCTAAGTATTTTGCAATAGTCTTTTTATGCATAGGTATTAGCCGGCACTGAGAGTTCTACGTATTATTATATTTGCTTTATATCTTGTATAAGCATCTCAGGAGAGAGAATGGCTGCACGTTTCCCAAAGTGTTTTTCGTAGTTTTCATTAACGTATAAAGAGCGAGGAATTCCCCCATGAAAGCATCAGATGTTAGAAGTAAAGTTCCATGTGTACCCATACTCAATTAACCAGCAAAATATTTGTCATACATTATGCAAGAATATTTCTAAGCATTTTTTTTTCTTTTACAGTATTGAGAATTCTCTGACTATCAGAACTAATATCAAATCTCAATACTGATTTTTGCGTATAACTGGCACATAACTTTGAAGCCCACATATATTACTCAAAATTACAATTAAAGTATTCTTATCAAATTCGCTGGTATCCTGCTTTCTAGTTACGTGTTAAAATGTTACATGTTTTCGCAGTCATCGTATTTGCTGTGGCTTATGAAAATTGTATGAACTGTGCTTATGAAAATTTTACGAATGTTATTTCAGTTCAAAGAATTGTCTCCAGGCTCAGTCAACCATAGGAGGGAGAACACATTACTCTCAGCTTTTGAGTGAAGAACGTCTTGATATCCTAGTACATTGCAACTTGGGAACGAACCGGTATGCAGAAGAACTTCAAATAAATCAATATTCTCAAGATTTCACATTGGCTGGTTTTTGGCTATTCCGAAAGTGAACTCTTCTACGTCTGGAAAAGGAACGAAGCTCAAGATGAATCGCTCCCGCAGACACTATATAGTTCAACTATGAAAGACGATTTTTACGAATGCTGAAGAGAGGAGTTTTGCGTAATAAAATTAATTTGATTGTGTTATAGTTATGATCTATCCCACTATGTGATAACAGAGAGGAATGCTTTAGTGGAGAAGTTTTAAGCAGCGTATGAGGCATCCATTGTGATTCACAATGGTTTTGTGAAGAAAGGCATTAAAGCTGGTGGTCAGTGCTTTAACAAACCCGGAATCATATCGCTCACGAAGAAAAATGTTATGCATGTATCAAAACGATTTTACAACGCAAACTTTAGTTGTGCTCTACATATTTGATGTACTCAGGCGAATAGTAGTACAATTTAAATTTAGAAACATTCTTAGATTAATACTATTGACAGATATTGATTTTAATTTATTATTTTGCATAGCATTCTTTTACGTCACCATTACTTTCATAATTTAAACTTAAATTCTGAGAAAGGAAGAAATTTCTGTTAGTGAGAATTTTCCTCTAAATTGGAATTCTGTAAAATGCACCTTATATGTCTTTCTCACGAATATTTTAATACATATGGTAAATAAGATATTCTGAAATTTTATGAATGAAAATTGTACATCTTAGAGAAAACCGCAGACAATGATTTCATTCTCCAAGGGAGAATCCTTCGAGGCAGAAAACTATCCGTACTTCCCTGCCTTAATTATTATTATAATTATAGAACCAATTCTTAAAATCAAATTCCATGTATTGATCTTGAATAAATACACTAAAAACATGCTTGTCTAAATAATGCTTCAGAAACTAAGATTTTATGTATAAGTTACCCTCGCAAGTACAACTTAAATTCAATTAAAATTACTTTCAATGAAGAAAGAATATTTTTTCAAATATTCCATTAATGCTGCATAAGTGGATTATAAGGAACTGGAATAGAAAAGACGAGTAAGCAAATTCTTCAAAAAATAAAATTACTAGTGCCGTTTAAGTTTATTAATCCTATTAAGATTTAAATTTTGAGTGGGGCTTTCAATATTTATATTTCTCTTTAAGACATTTGAACATGATTCCTATCAGGCAGTTTCAGATAGACTTAAAATAATAAATGAGGTAAAAGCAAACAGGGAAGAAGACTCATATATTATTTGATGATTATTTGATTAAGATTATTAGATGAGACAAAAAACGTATTAAGTAAATACAGTAGTTGCATGCTGGACATCTTTTAGATACAGCGATGGATAAAATAAATAATCCAAACCAAAATTCATTATTCAAACAATTCTTCTGTATTCTGTTTTCCTTCAAAATATTTCCTGAGGATAAAAAAAGGAATGGAGTAATTATCAGAAAAAAGGTCAATTTCATGGCAAGCGGAAGAAAAGCTTTTGTTTGCTTTAAAGTTTCAGACTTAAAAAAAAAAAAAAAAAAAAAAAAAAAAAAAAAAAAAAAAAAATCGCTTGGTATGAAATTTACTTAGTCAGCTATATATGTCATAATAAAAGCAAAGGAAAACTGACGGAGCACTGTAGATGCGTAGTTAGATCCATATTGAAGAAGAATTTTGATTGCGTAGTATTTAAAGAACTTGGCAGTCGAGGCAGTTTTAATTCCATTTTTATTTCCAGTCGATATTTGTGGTCACAATCACTTGGCACTCTAGTCGTGCCTTTCCACAGAAGATTTACATTTTTGATATTGTTGGGATAGAAAGCAAGCCAGCGAAATTACATCTTAGCAGAGTAAAGAGAAAAGCTGAAGTGCGTCGCTATGCAAGATGGAGGCACGCGAAGAGAAAAGTTTTGGTTTACAAGGACAGTTTCAGTTCCCAATGATTACGCCATCAGAGCTGCGCCGATCACAGAGTGATCCAGAAATGACGCAATGCAAAGAAGTTGTTACGATTTTAGAATAGAGAGGAAGAATTAATGTTTATAGTTTAATCTATAATTTTGATTCATATATTTTTATCTTACATATATAATCGCCGTGATGGAATTATTCCATAGTAAATCCATTCAGAAAAGTCTAATAAATATACCGCATCATATAAAAACTTGATGTCATTCTTTCGTAAAGCTTCTTCTGCAGTAAGACTGGAGCAAACATTAGGAGCAAAACATAACTAAAAAGAATCGATCGAGGTATGATTACCAAGCCCTGGTACTTTGGTGATGCCCCAAAAGCGGAATACAAATAAACCGTTAAAATTCTACCGTAACTTGAAAACGAGTTCCATTATATCACTAGAGTACGATTACAGGAAGCTGCCTTGGACATTTCTCGGCTTATTTGTTTCTGGAAAAGTCACACTTCGATATTTTCAAGTCGATCAGGCAATGTTGGCAATATGTGCCTGAAGTGATACAATATATTACTAAACAGCACATGCACATGCATTTCGTCCAAAGATTTTATATTACTTTTTTAAAACTAAAATTCAGAAAAAATACTTTTATTTGAAATAAATACACTTTATTAGGTCATTATTATACACAGGTACATACATGCAGTCCATATATGTTATATTATTATAACATCTTTTATACTCGCACTTTTATTTATTACATAACTATTATACTCGCAAACGCCCATACATGGAGTCCAAATATGTTATATTACGTATAACATCTATTATACTCGCACCATTATTTATTACTCGCTATTTTAATTTACTTTATTATGCTCCCAAAAGCCCGTACTTACAGTCCGTAGATGTTATACTTATTTTTTTAAAACTAAAATACAGAAAAAATCACTTTTATTTGAATAAATATACTTTATTTAGCCATTATTATAATTAAAATTTAGCAAACGTGTAGGGTTTACCTTATTTTGCATAACAAATTATTTTAAGTTTCCTATATTTCTTGAACTCCTCAACTTCCCATTACATTTCTTCGCCAGAATGTAAATTTAAAGTTAAGTGAAGTGCGTATTTAAAAGGGTAAATCTCAGAGTGTATTCAGAGCGTGTTTTCTCTAGCCAGCGCACGTTTCGTTAGCTGTCTCGCTATTACGCTAGTATGCCTCTTGATCCTTTCGGATAATTTTCACACCTGTTAGGTTTTTTCTTGAGTCAACCTAAGTTATTCATACTTTAGCATGCTAATCCAGCACTATTCTAATTAGACTTTAAATTTATTTACATTCTTCGTTTAAGTTTCACCGTAAGTTGACCATGTTATTGAAAAGAACGAAGATCGTGCCTTTCTTTTATCATTTGGAATTAATAAACGGTTATATCCACCCTTCTGTTCTGGTATTTCATTTACGCCTGCGCGCAAGAATTCAGCAGGTTCATTCTAGGATGTAGTTTAGTTTATGGGGAATAGAAGAGACAGATCATACAAAATTATTCGCAATAGACTAATTCATAAATAGACTAAACTTTGTCTAAATGACTTCAAGTAATGTTAAAATAATTCAATAAATTTTTTCTGATTTGAAACAAATTTTTAGAAATGCCAAGTTCTATTATAACATATCACATTCAGTTTGAAATTTTTATTTGCATTTAAGTCATTATTAGTTGCTCAAAGAAATTAGCAAATTCGTGAGTAATAATTTATATGTCTTGTTTTAATGAGAAAGCAATCAACATAAATAAATAATGTGCTTGAGATTTGCATAGCATTCAACTGCGAATGTCCTTAATAACTATAATTTAATGTTCAGTTTAATAGCTGTTGATTCTAGTCCTACAAATGAAACATTTGATATTTCGATTTTGAAATATAATGAACTAGGGAAAACGCAATACTTAATGTAACCAACTAATTACTCAATTCTAATACTATTATCATTAATACATTAATAATGCTAATACTATTAGCTGCTATCAAGAACTGCTTACTTCTTCAGACAGATAATTCATCTTTATCGCATTACATGACTTATGAAGTAAATTAAAACTATGTAATTACACTGCGAGAACTATAATTTTGACAATATTCAGCAGGGAGTCAAGTGACATTTACAATTAAATTCAGTAAGAAGTAACTATATGAGATTGTAAATCAGAGATCTATATCATTTAAGCAAATTTAACCCGTGTTTGTAATTAAAGTTATTTCAAAGAGCTCTGTGCATCTTGAGAATTTATCGCAGGATCCTCTTCTTCAAGGTTAAATTATGATTCGAATTAATTTTTTTATAAATATAAGCAAAATATTTCCGATCCTTGTTGAAGAGGAATCAATTCATATTACCACAAACACGAAGAATTTTTCGATAATATAATCCTAAATAAATTTCAATAAATTTTAAAGTTAAATATGTCTCTCATCTGTTACGTCTATTTACAATCTATTAACTTTTAGTTTTTGTTAAAAATCTGTTAAAGGAAGATAAATTACTTGGATATTTTTCTATCGAAGCACCATACGGTGTTAGACAGCAAGATATCATCTCCAATAGAGACTAAACCGCCAGCTATCCATAACATAGTTCCGAAAGAGGCGACACCCATTGCCATTCGAGATTCTGGAAGAGAAGGCTGAAATTCCACCCATGCGTCAATTCGAGGATCATATCTTTCAATCGAAGTCAGAACTCTGAAATGAGACATCAATAATGCATCAGCTACAAAGTTTTAAGCTCATTTTCATGTATAATACATCGGTTTCACAATCTAATTTAGTCTGAATTATTTATTGGATTTAAGTTTTGAATATAGTGAAGAAACAGCTAAAGGGTACAATAAAAAGAGATCCGTTTCAACAGTCTTTATTTGAAATAAATGTGAATGTGTGCGACCTGCTAAACAAATGACTTCTTCATTATTAGTCATTGAAAAGAAGTAATTTTTGAGATTCATATCAAATGAAAAGAGTAGTGTATTTCGGAAACCACATAAGGTGATTTAAAAATATTTTATTAATATATTAAATTTTGACTAAAAAGTTAATTTAGGTTATGTGAAGAGTCTAATCACGACAGATATTATTGCAGTTTTATATAAAGTGTTGTTGCTATAGCTGGAAGACTGATAAGTTGACCTCATACAAAGTCTTGAATCTCTCTTTTTCTAAACGTTTCCTTTAAGATGAATACGCTTTCGTATAAATCAAAAATACCGAAAATACTTTATCGAATTATGCATATTCGGAAATAAGAAATAATTGAGGAATTTACAGAGAGATTCACTCTTGGCTGATAATATTCTTGTTTTCGATCCAATATGAAGAACTTATTCAAGGATCGGCATTTGGCAAGAACTGTTTTTGATTAATTTTGAACTTCAGTAGCGTTTAAATTCGCAATATTCTTCAGATTACTCGCATATTTGTTTGAAGGAAAGTGGCTGGCCTATTTCACATTATGCATTAGAATACCGAAAAATAAATTAAATAATATAAATTTACAAAGAATAGGTAGATCTGATTACAGATACATAAGAAAATCCTCTTTAACAGGAGAATTTGATATAACACATGCCACTGGTCCCTTCATCTTATCCACCATATTGAAAGTTATACAAGGCATTTCAAAAAGGCGCCAATAATGTTAAAACTTCTGTCGTGTGAAATTACTTAACTGGATATTCACTCTAACGGTTACATAGTATACAGTTAATTTAAATTGCTGACATATTATCATCCGTAATCTCAGGGTAGCATCAGATCGTCTACTCCCCAAGAGTCTTTTATTACGATTCTTTTTTAACTAGAACGTACCTCACTAAGTTCTTTGACAGAGCTTCTTCACATTTTTAGTGGCTTTTGTATTAACAGTAGGATAGTTTAAAACATTCGCAACAGTGTTACAGGCGTATCAAGCTAACTTCTGTCTGCTGAAGGCACGGAGAACGAAAGAACGCAGGTCGTATTTTCGTGCTCTTCTATGTAGTAATTAACTGTCAAACAACCGCGAGCACAATTAAAGCAAATTAAACGTTATTTAGTCACTTATAATGGCTCATAAATAAAACTTTTATAAGGAATAAACCGACGACCAGAATCAGGTTATTTGACATCGACTAAGTTTAGCTCAAAACTAAGCACCTGGTCGGCTACACTAAGCCTGAACACAGGATTTACCAAACTACACAGTGATTAAATTAAGCTTTAGCCATTTACGAACATAGCATATTTTACTGAGAATTTAGCAGGAACTAAATTCTCAGTAAAATACATTGGCATTTTGACGAACTACTCCTGTGGTTTTATGGTTAACACAAGTATTATGATATTTTCAGCTTACATTTAATTACGGTATGATGTCATTCTGATCACAACATTTTTAATGAAAAACAAATTAGCAATTTATAGTATTTTAATAATAAAATGTGTTATAATTTATTTTATTAAATTTATTTTAGTTACAGGGTTAAAGTTGTTCAAAAAATGTTTTAATTTTTTTTTTTTTGGTATTAGAGAAATACTTGGCCAAAATTTCGCTTTTAAAAAATAAAAAATAGCATTAACAGTAATATATCCTTTACTTTAGAAAATAAAAAAAACTATTATTAATACGATACATATACTTCCCAACTGTTTCCGAGATTGACTGCGTCAGGCTCAATCAATCGACAAACGGCATCTCCCAACAATTTCTTCAGAGGCATTTTCTGCTTCAGACGCATGGAATGCCTCTGAAGCAGTAGCAAATAGATCAGTTTTAAATGTTTGCGAACTAGCTGACTTTATAAGAATGACAAACTTTTTATTTTTCCTAAAAATCTGTCCCTAGCCATTGTTTCACTAAAGAATTTTGGGCCCCCGGATTTGGACCATAAACTCAAAACAGAAAGTCTTTTTGCAGTTAAAGCACCACAAGCATATAATAGAGTAATAAAAGCGTCTAGCTTATCCAGTGAAAAATAGAGCTTAGGATACTCCAACTTTTGACATGCTTCGTCTTCAGTGCTTTGCTGTATATGTTGTAATACTTTTTCATTGATAAAGTAATTATGTCAATTATTTTTTTCTCAGCAAACGTAGTTGTTCCCCTATTTCTTGCATTTTGAAGGGGAAGCCTTCCAAGTGAATTTCCTTAATATTTCGTATTTGGAAAGTTCGAAGACGTCAATAGTTTTTTCTGAATGCCGAAATTTTGAACGCAAAGAAAGTATTCCGATTTTTGAAACATTTTTACAGCTAAAACCTATATACTTGAAGAAACAAAAGACAGATTCGATGAATGTTTAGGAAATAAACAGATTTCTATATGTTATACGTAATCAAAATATCTAAGTTTCATGTAATGCTCAAAATAAGTCACATGCAGTAATTATGAGCTGAGCGCATCTCACGAAAGAAAATAGATTATAGATGATTTTCTTAAGCGAATGACTAAAGCAGATAAAATGCTGGTACCTTGCCTAGTTGTTAAGTATTTGGCAGACTAATTAACTGGCTGCAGGATGTTTCAAAAGTTTTCCAAACTGTAACTTAAATATAATCCAGTTTCTAATAGACAGTATGACAGAAAATATTCCTTTCTCTTGCAGTGTAGACCTGAATAGATAACGTATTTAAAATAAGCGAAACTCTTTCTTCCAGGAAATCGCATTCAATTCCTAGATCAAAATTAAATTATTCGTACCGATGCATCCATTCTTTTATCCCTTATTTCGTAAAAGGCAGTTTTTATTTATAATTTGATAGTTTTTCTTCGATGAAGTATTTATTTTCCAAGTACTGATGTTGGAGTCAGAATGGTGGAGGGAAAGTTTTCTGCTTAATCACAGCAATACAGTAACAATTTCCTATTTATTCAATGTATGCTCCCTGTAAGTACGACATGCAATTTAATGCGTAACAGATATCTCATGAAACAACTTTACGATTGCATTTCTTAGAATCTTGCTTAGAATCTTAGAATATCTGTTAGTGTATTAATTCAGAAACATTGCTTTTTATCTGTCAGTATTTTTTAAATCCTGTTTCACTAGTGTTACTGATTTTTAAGCAAACGAATCTTAAAGGCAAGAAATGTTTATCCTTAAATATTATAACCAGACAGTTTAGACCTGTGCATTATCTGCACTGAAAGGAGAATCAAATTTAAGGATTTTCATTCAAAACCAGTTTATTGCATTTCCTACTTGAAAATTCTCTTGTTTTCGAAATATTTTTACTAGACACTACACTAATAGAAAAAAGTAAAAAAAAAATTAATAAATTTCATATATTAAATGTTTTGACGATAATGATTGCGATACCTAGAAAAATATTTATTCCTTTTTACTAGAAATGTCAGTGATTAAATTTTAATAATAATTGAATATATTATTAAAACACGAAAAATGACAGTAAGGAGAGAAAGTTATTTAGTTTATGTCGTAGCAAATGCTTTTGCTACGCCAGTGCAAGTTTTGTTAGAAGTGTATTTTTACATCAGTTTAAAGGACAAAAATATATGAAGCAATCAAGCATCCATTTATCATTAAAAAAACGCCTTGCTTCTGATTTTAGTTAAAGGTCTCAAAAGTCATTCTTTTAATTAAAGTATGTTTCTAATTTTCTCATTTAAATAGTACAATTTAGAATCATTTCTGTGATAGGCGAAGTATCAAGAACGCTTTTTATCATTCCGGATATGAGGGACTTATTTTTAAAGAGCAAATAATAAATTTAAATTTTAGTTAAAAGTTTTGTTACATAGAGAAACATTCTCAAAATTTTCCTCATTGTTAAATCTTGGTACAACAATCTATTATGAAAAGCAAAAGGATTTTCTTGTTATTTTTAACATTGTAGCATTCGATTCTTATCATATATGACTTTCCTTATGTTTTAGATGTTTTTCATTATGACCTGTTTTACGAGTTTCATTATCAAGAAATGTGTTTCAGTCTGTAATTATTTCGCATTTTCTCTAATACTAGGAATGGCACAAGAACATTTTATCAATACTTTGTAGAGTTCCTCACTTTGCAATTCTAAGTTAATGTTGGAAGTGAAGAATCTTAAGAACTGATAAGGATAATCGCTAGTTCGGCGACAGAAAAAACAGATAGAGGTAACTAACCTTTTTATTCCATAGATTAACAAACTCCGCCGGAGTGTACAAGCCTCACCGGCGGAAATTAGAGACTAGATTAAACTAAACTAGATTACTAAAGAAATATATCCGAAGCTATCAATTCAATCGGTTGGCCCCTTATTATTGACTACGAGCTAGCAAGGGGTGAGTACGGCGGCGTAAAACAGCTTTGAGAGAGAGAGTTGCAAAAAGGCGACGCGCGTAATCAGAAACTTGATCTCTGGCGGAAGTAGCATTTAAGTTAAGATTTGACAGGAAAGGAACTTAAACTTTAACTGTTAATAAAATTAACATAATCCTTACAACTTAATAAAGGAAACATAATTGTGTATACGTTTATTACCTATACTAGATGTAAGCATTATCACAACAATCATTATATATCTAATCAGAAATTGTTTTCACGTTTTTGCAGTACATATTGTACGCATGCTGAGAAGTTTATTGTCAAATAGCAATTTGGCTTCACGGGTAGTTTTAATTCTTGCTTTATTCTATGACAACAAGGACGAATAAATGGGGATATAAATGTAGGAGTTGGTAATTAGATTGTGAATAAACGAAT